AACAGTAAGCATTAAACAGTCGCTGTAAGCATTAAGCAGTTTAAAGTAAGCAGTTGACAGTAGGCAGTTGACAGTAAGCAGTTGACAGTAGGCAGTTGACAGTAAACAGTAGGCTGTCGTTTATGGAATTCCGTAGTATGACGATAGTCTAGTAGAATTTCTTATATTACTATACCATTCTTGCTTGTAAATGTCCAATATTCTATTTTTAACTTGTTGAAAATTGATTGTTATATGTTCTTGATTAATCCATATGTTCGACATTCCTATATCATTTAAAATCTGTTTAATTTGGCATGCCCAGTTGTTACCACCATAAGAAAGACCGTTTTCTGCATCATATTTTAAGACATTATACATACGTTTAAGCAGACAGTCATTTTGTAAACTAATTAATTTTGTCCAATATTTTTACATTATAAATTTACGATGTATTCGCATTGGATGTCTACCGGTTTCGCCATAAAGACCATCCAAGTTTGTTGCTTTCATAACACATAAGTCTTTTCTGAGAAATTTACAATGGATCGTTTCTATATTTTTTCCTTCTTGATATCCATAAACTTCAGCACCATAGTTTAAAACTGAGCCTACCATACAATCAAAAAGTTTAAATTTGTCTCCACTAGATAATTCTAATTGATTAAACAATGTAAATAAATTATGCAATGAAAACGAAGCATGTTGTGCTAATTTCTTTTGAGTTCTATTCCAATGTCCATTTTTAAATAAATTAATCCCAAGATATTTAAAAAAATTTACGTTTTCCAGAACTATGTCATTATATACGAAATTGTAACTTGCATGTCTGCCTTTTTCAAAAAATCAAAATTTTTGTTTTATTAGTATTAACTTTAAGTCCCCAAGTTTGACAATATACTTGTAAATCATTTAGCATAGATTGGAGTGCCATAGGCGTATGTGCAAATAAAACGGCGTCATCCGCGAAGAGCAGCAGAAATATTTTAGCGTCGTCGATTTTAAAAAGGTCTTCTATATTGGAATTTATATTTTCTACTATATCATTCACGAAGTATAAAAATAATAATGTGGAACTGGGGTCCCCTTGTTTTGCGCCAATATTTGAATCGAAAAAAAGACGAGACTGTATTGTTATATCTAATAGCAGCTTTAACGGATGCGTACATACATCTTATAGCCGTTACAAATTTTGAACTTACATTTTCTGACAATAATTTCTGAAAAATAAATGTTCGATCCAATTTGTCAAAACATTTTTCGAAATCGAGAAAACAGCAATATAATTTTTTTCTTTCTGATAATGACTTAACGATTATAGAGTGTAAAAGAAATATGCAATCCGTTGTGGATTTTCCCTTCTGGAAACCATACTGATTGTCAATAATTTTACTATGTTTAACAGTATTTAACGGACCACTTCGTTAGACGATTAAGTAAAATTTGAGAATAAATTTTTGCAATTATATTAATGAGGGTTATGCCCCTGTAATTCTTAGGATCCTCAACATTTCCCCCTTTAAAAATTGGTACAATAATACCTGCTCCCCAATTATTGGGATATTCCCCATTTCGAAAATTCTATTATAAATTGCTAATAAAAATGGTGAAATAATATCAAAAGAATGTTTATAGATCTCCGCAATAACAGAATCCGCCCCAGCGCTTTTATTATTATTTTGGGAAAAAACTGCCTCTTTTATTTCCGAGATTGATATAGCGCTATCTAAATCGTCATCTGTTATTAACATTGGATTCGTAACTTGATCTCTGTCTCATTCGTTTCCACGCTATATAAATTCTTAAAATGACTAAATAAATCAGAAATATTTAAATCATTAGCATGAACAGGATTTTTTGCGTATTGTTTCTTAACCCTTTTCCAGAATTTGCGCGGTTGCGACTTACTTAATTTCGTAAGCGTTTTAGCTTCGCCCAATTTATATATTTTTTTACTTTTTCTTATCGTTTGATTATACATATTTTTTGAACGTAAATATTGTTGTCTTAGGTTATCATTGGTTTTATCTTTTAAAAATAAGTTCCTAGTTCTCTTAAACTCTAATCTTGTATTATAGCAAATTGTATCAAACCACGGTTTTTTTCTAGACGTGCATTCGCGAGTTTTTGACTTAAAAATGGCCCGCTCTTTACCAAATATCATTTGCGCCGAAGATTTTAAACTATTAACAAATAAATCCGTCACTTCATTTATATCTTCGTTATTTTTAACTCTATCTGTAAGTGTTGAGAATATATTTTCGTCTTGCAATAATAATTGTTTAAATTCTGTTATTTTATCGTCATCCCATTTTAATATGATTTCTGTTTTAGATTCATCGTTTAATGGTTGGGCAGACTGTTTACTTAGAATATTAAGCGAGATACCCGAGTGTTTTAATATAGTACCCTGCTGATAAGAGAGCCCCTCGATCAGGGTAAATAACATAAGGCAGATGATAAATATAATTAGGCAATGTAAATTCTGTATTCTCTGGATGTTGGTGCAAATAAATTTCATATCAAGTAGTACAAAAAGAAAACTGAAATATTTTTGCATTTTATAAAAAACTATTTTCAGAATAATATAAATTATTTATATTAATCTTAGGTAAAACTCAGTTTGAGAAGGTAAGAGAGATCATAAATGAGATAAAATTGACAAAATCTAGGCTAATTATAAACATATTAATTCTTTAATGTATTAAAGGCTATTAATGCTTGAAATCATTACCTTTAACTAAAAAAACCATAAGTTATAATCAAAAATAACTAATTTGTATAATTTGCCCCCCCCCCCACAAAAAAAAACAAAAAAAAACAACAACAAAAAAAACAAAAACAAAAAATGACTGAATTTTGTTTAATTAGCATTTCAATGTTTCATATTTCATTACCAGATTATAATAAAATAGAATCATATTAAATACAGTTGGGTGAACGTTTCGGTTGTCAAAAATAGCGTTTTTCGTGTAACGTGCGTGCGTATAGCGTGCAACGTGCGTTTGCTGAAACGCTTTCTCAAGCGTGCATCGTTTTCAAGCGTTTAACGCTTTTCGTTTTCCGTGTATAGTTTTTCGTTTATCGTGCGTCTGAAAGCGTGCGTTTCTTATTTAGCGTGCGTCTGCGTTCGTCTAAGCGCTTAAGTACCGTGTTTTGCGTCTGTTACTATTCAGAAGTAAAGGAATATCTTAGATAGATATATTATGTAAATTTCTTGTTTCTTAAACATGTAAGAGATGTTTCTGTGCCCCTGTCAAAAGAATAGAAATATTAATATATAAAAGATTATTATTGTGATGTTTACATTAAAGTTTTTAAAGTTTGTGACCTCGCGGTGAATACTGGTCAGATTTCTACATACAGTGAGTTAGCCAATAACGGGTCACTAGCGAAACTTTTAGTGTTTATGAACGAACGATTTTTAGATTCATATATAAATGTATGATGATTAGAAGTATTTTTATTCCCCTTTCACTGTATATTTCTTGTGAATTCATATTTTGAATGCATCGTGGTGTATTAACCGTTTCCAAACTTCTTGTAAACATGCCAATAGCGAGTCAAATCGGCCATTAGCGGGTCACGTGATATACGTAACGGGTGGTTTTCTCAAAACATTAATTATCTGTCAAATTCTTCCTTAACCAGGAAACTATTACACAACTATGTGTTACCGCTGAGTATTAAAGTGATAAGGGTACCAATAAGTAAAGAATCAAAGTGGCAGCTGCATGATTGTGGTAAAAACAAAAATGATTGCAATAATTTTGATCAAGATATCTGCTCAATGAATTGTAAATTGTGTAGATAACATATTTATTTTATTTTCAGGGTAACAAGGGACAAAGCAGCTCATCGAAGCAATTTTTTGCACATTCTATGTAAAATTTCATTAAATTAACTGTTACACAAGTGTCTTGTTGTGAATCAAAAGCTTAAGATACAGTCTCAAGAAATTTGCATGTTCTTCTATGTGGTCATTATGAGGATACACTTTATAAGAATAACAAACACAATTGTCAACTGATTTTCTCTTATTGAGTAAACTCTGTGATATAAACAAACAAAATCATAACAAAATACATGTAATGATGTAAAACAATATTGACTACATCATTTAACAATACTGGCTTGGTTCAACGTCAAACCTAAAGAAAAACCCATGTAATTATGTAAAACAAAATTGACTCGATCATTAAACAATACTGACTTGGTTCAACGTCAAACCTAAAAAAACTCATTTAATTGTGTAAAACAATATTGACTTAATATCATTAAACAATATTGACTTGGTTCAAAGTCAAATCTAAAAAAATACATGTAATGATGTAAAACAATATTGACTAGATCTTTAAACAATACTTGCTTGGTTAAAAACATTATGAATTTTCAGTCACTTAAAGGCACATTATGTGTAAGAAAGAATAATAATTTTGTCGAAAGTGCAAAAATGAGTTTAAATATGTTGTAATATGGATTTATATCATGTGAGATGCTTATCATCTGATAAAAATACCTCTGAATATAAAATCATTTGTGATAAAGCAAGTAAATTAATACAAAATACTAATTAACTTTAACTGTACTAAACCTAAGCACAAAGGAAACTAAAGATGGTTCAGAAATATGACCAATAAGTAACTTCTGGAAACTGCAAAATGGACATTAAAAATAATTAAGCTTTGAAAAAATAAAGTGATAGCCTTAAAATAACAAGACTTTGAAAAAAATAATGATAGCATTGTTAGGCTTAATTGGCTTTTACAGAGTTGAAAATTTACATACATTTGTATGTTTATTCCTTGTTCAGTGTCATGGCAGGGTCTTCTGGGATTTTATCTAGTATTACAGAAAGTTTTTGAAAATTACTCTCAATATCTGGGTGAAATATAATATAGTTGCATGGCAACGCAACCCCACACCTTCAGAACTTGGAGCCGGCCATGGTGGGAAACTCTGAGTGGGCTGACCAGTAACTTCAGCTTCAATATGTCCTTTGTCCATAATGGTACGAAAAAAGCCAGCTATCCCTCATGGAACATGGCCAATTGGAAGTCCTGCTACATCTCGCAACCATAGCTGGCGTTTTTGGTCAGTGACACTATCATGTAACAATGTTTGGAATGACTCAAGTGGCGGCAACCACACCAAGCAGGCATCAGTATCATGGATATTTGTATATTCAGGCTCTACAGTTAGACGTGTTGGGGATGTAATTGATGGTGGTCTTATTTGAAAAGCGTGATACCCTTTGATAACTGACTTTTTAAGGACCATGGATTGTTCTGAAGTTTCCTGAAAAATAAAAATTATTTCATTAATAAAGGAACATAAGATTTAACAATAGCTTCATTTATATAAAAAAGTAATCTTAAAGAGAATAAGTTAGGAAAAAAGAATAAATAACAGCACAGCATTAAAGCATTTATTTATTTTTTATGTGCTAGCCATGTTTAAAACTATTATTCTTTATTTTTTACCACTGAGGAGGCTGCATTCTGGGCTGGACTACATTGAATACTTATTCTCTTTCCCTTAGGCATTAGAATCTCAAACAATAAAACAAGTAAACAAATGAGCTTGTCATGTCATGATGTGAGTAATGACAAAGAACAATAACCAAAAGTCCGGGGTGGGGTGATTACAAAAATGTTCATGCTCGAGTGATACCGTAAATCTATCACATATGATGTGTGTGATAATAAGTAACAAACATTTGAAGATAAAAGGAGATACCTCAAGAAATGAAGAAGTAATAATAATAATAATATTAATAATAATAAGAAAAATTATTAAATTTTAAACAAAATTCTTAGTTCAATGGGGAAATAATTTTGTAAAACAAATGTGTGCTAAAATAATAAATTTTGTCACACATCCTTTGGGTGATGAAAAACCATGTATTTGAAGTTTTAAGTGGTTAACTTAAAAATAAAGAAGTTACTGTACAGTTAAAAATAATATTTTAGAATCTAGAACAATAATATTTCAATGTTGCAGCAGTTTATACTACATAAAACACCATATTTTAGCATGGACTGCATAATTCACCTGCAATAATAACATAAATAAATTAAATTTTTATTTCTTTGTATACAAACCAAAATTTGCTTTTAAAAAAAGTTTCTAAACCTGTTTAATAACTTTTGAGGCGGTCCCTTCCTGGAAAATTGCATGACCCGCTATTGGACAACGTGATGCAATTCAATTGACCAGAGCTATCACTATAATTCCTCATGCATTTTTTTTAAACGGCTGCTGCTGCATATAGTTAACATATTGGGCATCAAATACCTACCAGGTTTGATCTAATATCTTTTGGCTTTTTTTTCAGCAATAAAGCAGCGACTGCAAATTTGTGTTGTTACTGGCGCAATATTTCGCGACAAACGGAAACGCTTGGTAAAGCATCTGAATGAATCTGATTAGAATTATCCGGATGTTTACATTTTTTTTCGCTGTCGAAGAGCTAACATCCTAATGCACATGACTGTTAGGTTATAACACTTTTAAGTTCAAAACATTTAGTAAAATAATTTATTACATAACTGTCTGGCCCGTTATTGGCTATGATCCGCTATTGGCTAACTCACTGTATGCTTTACGCCGATGATTAATTAGTTTTAATCCTAGTTTACATACGCATATAAGATTTAGTTGTTAAATAATTGCAACATTTTTGATATTAAATTCAGCAAACAGGTGTTGATATGCGTACCAATATATATTAGATATGAAGTTCGTCAGACATCAAATATGGTAATCAGACTAGCACCCCACCCCCTTTACAAGTTCATCTTCTGACTTTTTCATCAAAGACTGTCCGAACCCGATCCGAATCCTATTTTAGGGTGATAATTATTTTAGACAGTTCCTCCCTATTTTTCTTGACAGATTTATATTGATATGTAACAGCCTGCAGAGACTCGAAAACCCCTGACACTCGGAATACCATTCCGCGGCTCTTGAGTTCCTCCGAGCTATTTCGGCCGCTTACATGTTTTACTTGTAAAAATACTGAATCGTTATAAAACTACTGTGTATGCAAATAGTTCTTCGAATTTCCCAGGGTTACTTAGCATTGTGATTTAATTTCTACCTGGGCTATACAAATGTTATATCAGTCACAGGGTGAGAAAAAAGTGCATCCTAGCTGATATGGACTCGAAACCCGTGACCCTCTAAATACCCGTTACCGCCGGCTGCTACCGACATTTGTTAATTAGTTTTCATTATTTGTACATGTATAGTGAACATTTTACCACGGAGGTTGAAAATAGTGTATGTAGATTTGCTGATTTTACTATATTATACATTGTATATATTTCTATATTTTGCTACAAATAAAAATTAGCTAGATTTTTTCTTAGATTAAATTCTATGGTGGCTAAAATTTATACCATTGATGTACTTTTTAGGACATGTTTATCCACAAACAGACAGGCTAAGCCACCCTTTACCAAAAATTCCCCTATTCTGCAGCTCATTATTCAAAGCATAGACTACTATTTTTTGTTCTATGTGGCCTGCGGCTTTTTAAAGCCCTTTATTTTGTTTCTTAAGATCTGTCTGACAGTCATATTGATGTTTATGTTATTTTTTTTTTACTTGTTTGGGATATTTTTTAAATTTAAAAATAAAATATGTTTAAGTTAAATAATGATACTTTGATTAGGGATTTCTATGAATTTCAACCCAGTCCAATCAAACAAAGAGAATACAATGATATAGCAATATTCCTATTATGTACAATAAAAAACAGTTACAATTATTATTTTAGCAATCTTAATAAAAATTGTCAATCCTTGTTTCCCGATCCAGTTCAGTGTTTACATGTTTAAAAGTTAAATGAGCCGCGTCACGACAAAAACCAAACATAGTGGTATGGCGACCAGCATGGATCCAGACCAGCCTGCATATCCGCGCAGTCTGATTCAGGGATCCATGCTGTTCACTTATAAACCGTATAACAAGTAGAGACACTGTTAGCGAACAGATGCGCCGGCTGGTCTGGATCAATGCTGGTCGCAAACCTATTATATTGGTTTTATCGTGACCCGGCTCAAATATATCTTAATCTTATATGAGGTCCATATTATAACCCACTTTGATAAACATATATAGCTTTTTTGATTTTTATTCTGTATATTATCTAAAATCACTTTGTATTATAGTTTGGGGACCTTTCTGTTGAAAAAGTGTCAGAGTTAAATCGTATACATATACATGTACAGTGCGGTAACTGGAGTGCAGGTATCAGTTACCCGCACTCCAGATCATGCCCGTTGATTGTCTCATGTTTTGCTGGGGTTTACATATTGTGACGGCCAGAGAAAGGGAAAGCGGCAGAAATATCATATTCAGATGCTCGATCATTTGGTTACTTTTTCCCGGGGTTTTAAAATTTGTGACAACAGGGAACGTGGTTTTATGTTTGACTATGATACAAAAGAGAAAGAACACCAAAAAACACTCGGCAATCTGATTTATACTCGGGGGCTACGCCCCCTCGTACAAATCAGATAGCCTCGTGTTTCGGTGCTCTTTCTATTACTTAAAGATTTATCAATCCATAACCATTACTTAACATAATACCCCTTTAAGATACCCGAGATGAGCCTGTGTCGCCCTTTGCTAACTTAAAAGTATATAACCTATCCCTATATAACCATAATTTATTAAGTTCTTTGAAGATTTTTTTCTCAGCTAGGTTATGCTGTAGTCCCAAGCCACTTGTTTAACTTCCCTCAAGTAAGTTATAACCATCAAAACTGATAAAATTCTAACTATAATATACTTTAAATATCAACCTATGTATTTATTTAAATTTACAAAAAACCCATTTTGCATACTTATATCTTTTGGGACCTGTACAATTTTCAAATTGATTGTAATTTTAATTTTCCTACAATATCAATTTTATGCTTCATAGGTAGGTCAGTTCATTAAAAAGAGCTTAATAACAAGATCCCTATGAAAGTAATGTAATTGATAACTCAATCCAAATAAACTTTATTAATTAAAGCTTTAATTAGATGACTTAAAAAAAGAAGATTTCAATAATTGTCCATGAAAAATATAAATGTTATAGTAAATTCCATGTGGACCCCAAACTAATTAAATGAAAGCAGTGCCACATAAAATGTGTTGATACACTGGGTAATTTATATAACATAAATCTTTTATATTAATATTACAAACATATTTAATTGACTAAATAAGGTAGTCCTAACAAATTTCATTTCAAAATATGAGAATTATGGCAAATTCTCCTAAGATGCCTTAATGTCCTAGAAAATGCCACTAAATCACTACAAAATATTGAAAAATTTTACCTAATTATAAGAGCCTTGGAATTTAAACAAAGCTATAAGAGGGACATTAATCTATCATATTAATTAACAAACGTATCTAATTGACTAAAGTAAGGAAGTCTCACCAAATTTCATTACAAAATATAAGAGTTATTGCAAATTTCCTGAGATACCATACTGTCTTAAGATAGAACACTAATTCACTACAAAATGGGGATTTTTACCTGGGTACATCAAACGTTTTTCGTTAACTTCCCTTCTCTATACTCTGGACGGTTCCATCTGGGTACATCAAACGTTTTTCGTTAGCTTCCCTTCTCTATACTCTGGACGGTTCCATCTGTGTACATCAAACGTTTTACGTTAGCTTCCCTTCTCTATACTCTGGACGGTTCCATCAATTTGCGTACATCAAACGTTGTTTTTTTTTCATTGAGTTATATGTTAGTTTGTGTTGCGTCATACAGATTTGACTTGCCTATCTTATTTTGTTCATGCACATCTATAATAAGGAATAATAAGACAGTGTATATAACATATCAAAGGCCCATCAAGTCTAAAAATGCTGTCACTTTACTTTTTACAAAAGACTTTTTTTATTTTTGGTGTCCTTCAATAGTTAACAAAAAGGTTACTTATTGCATGGTCATTTTTAGTAGCCATGTTCTGTTTCTTTTGCGCTTTGGTACAGTTATAGTTCATTAATATTTTGTATGAAGGTCAAAATACCTATTTGTTTACATTTTGCAACATGCCCCTTTAACGCAAATTATAATTTTCATCAGATAATGAGCATCTCATGTTTCTAAATCCATTATTAAAACATTTTAAACTCATTTTTTGCACATTTGACAGACAGATAGAATGTAATATTTATAAATTTCTGAGGCAAAATGTGCCTTTAATTAACAGGTATGATTGAATGATATGTACCTATTTGGTATCCGCATCAGTTTAGAATGAGAAAAACAAAATGTGGAAAAAACATGTAATGATGTCGTAAGTAATTCATTTTCTATATGATCGTTTTTAAGGAATAGTCAACCTCATGACGTCAAACCTGTCTCGTCTGTCTCTCATTTTATAAGAATCTTTAGTTAACTATGTAAATTTTTTCCCGTTTAATATTGTCCGTTTAATATCGTTCTGTAGCATTGCTCATTTGTACATATACCTGTCTCATTAAATATTGCACTAGGAACCTCCTCGGCTATTCTCAATAATGTTTTTATTCGA